TTTTTTGTGAAAATTAAATATTATTATGCTAATAAACAGTAATCTGTCCACCAACATATGTCTTCTTTTTACTTATGGTTCTTACTTTACTGCTATAATAGTTTGGGGACACGCCACATGTGCTGATATCAAGCAGTAGGACATTTATAAGCTAATTGACGACATTTAATGAAATAGGGAATCTACTGTACATTCAGAAGCTGAGATATAAGGTTATGGTGGGAGTCTTGTATTTAAGACAATTGCTAAAGTTAGAAAACGAGAATAGATATTCCATGTCAACCCGTATTAGGGAATAGGTCAAGAGTGGTACAAGTGTAGTGACATCCAAAGTGCACTTGTGAACGCTTAAAGTGAGTAGCTCAAGTCGAAGTGCACTGAAGGAACGCTTGCTACTCTCGGCTTTTGGAACAGTCAATCATAGGCCGACTCACACAGGACCTCACGTGACGACTGCCGAGCAGACATCACTTCAGACGCCGTCCCCTGGCTTAAGGTTTTGTGGTCGTCTGATAGTCAATTTCCTACTGCCTATTCCACAATTCCTTCTGTACAGAATATACTCTTCCTAACACTCTGGTCTGGACATGGCTTCTTAAGGAACTGGGCCTGGAAGATGGCAGCTGTAAGGGTTAAACTCTTTTAGTCCTAACATCACTCGATACAGGTGTCTAAGTTCGAATGATGACTAAGTACAATTTTTGACTTTTTAGAAAACCATTTTAACTGCCGCAGTACCAGCAGATAGCAAAGATTGACGAAACAAAACTAAAAAACACATATAATGGTAAGGACAGAGTGTTATGCAAACCCCATTTATAATTTATAAGAAAGACGCATTCATTTTGGTGGGCAAAGTAACGTCTGTGTTCGTCCTATCTACAACTGTGTTTGCGAAGGTGCATTAAGAATGGAGTTGAGAGGAACACAGATATACCTGCTGAGGTTTGGCCCCGGTTTAGTTGAGTATTCGATTCCAGGCGGAACGCTAAAATGAAGGTCAATTCGCTGCATCACAAGACCTAACCAGGCGTCATCAATGTGAAAGGGTTTGGTGAAGAACATGGCCAAAGCCAGATCTGCCACGTGATCGTAACCCAGCAGTGAGAAGTAACCATTGCTGTAGGGGGCATGCACTGGCCAGGGGATCTCCCCCTTTGTGAGCGCCCATTTGCGAGTGAAGTGCGGGTCACTGGGACGTAATGTGGGGCTATTCCAGCGAGTGGTGGCAATTGCAACTTTGCGTCGCCAATCGGCCGGCAGGTTGTCCAACGCGGCCAGCAGGTTTTTCTCAATGAAGGCAAAATCGTCGTCGATGAAAAGAA